ATTCTGAACATGGACGTAGCCCTTCATCTAAAGACAATGAAAAGGCAAGAAATACGTAGCAGAACATATCCCAGCCTGTGTGGAAGCTGGCTTTTGTCAGCATGGAGAGATTTTAAGCGAAGGAGGAGGGAAAATAGCAAAAAAAGTTTCAGAAAATTCTTTGCTGGTCGCTCCTCCTGTGCTCTGTGTGAGAGACGATAGAGTAGCTCCTGGATTTGGGAGGGGGTGGTGGTAGAGGGGGTTAAACCACTTACTGTCAGCGTAAGCTGGCTACCATCACAGCAGTTCTCTGAAAGGCCACATTTTGGATACTTGCTGCAGTGGAGTCTGCTGGCAATATATAATTTGTTTACTAAACAGGGAATGTAATTGAAATGTCCCTTTTGAGTTAATGAAAATATAAAACAGCTTTCCAGAGTAGATTGAGGCCACTAATTTAATTATCTGTGAGCCTCATAGATTAGAAGTATTCTTTCATCCATTCCTGGCAGCCTTAAGTAGGTGAATAACTGAAATTCAAAGAAAATCCTTATGAAAAGGAGACCTGGCAGATGAAAGAGCAAAGGGCCAAACCGTTTGTAAAAGGATTTATCTCCACTGAGATGCCCGTTGTCTTAATGACAACTAATTACATGTAAAAACTATTAAAGATTTGGAAGCTGTGATACCCATTAAAGGGGCCAAGGGTCCCCATCGCCTGCAGGGAAAACAAGCTGGCTCCTCTTGGAGATGTTGTTTGCTATGTATCAGAGGAGTTACTCTTTGAGGGTTCATTGCAAGCAGTGGCCTTACGCACGTGAGCAGTTGCCAGAAAACCAGCAGTCACAGCACAGCTGCAGGGGTAGCGTTGAGCTTGCTACCTAGAAAAGATGCTTCATCGCACTTGGGGTTTTTTGTTGGAATATGTTCTCCCTTTTCACGTTTGTACTTGAACACTTTGATCTAAAGGCACAGTGTGTCTAGGAAAGAAAAAAAACACAAGTTTGCTTCTGGTATAAATGTTTACAGCTTCATTGACTTGTAGTGGAATTTCACCTGGGAACATAAGCAGTATCCTCAGCGGAGATGAGCAGAGCATGGAGAGGGGTCACTGGTACCTGCTGGTACCTGCTGCTTGGAGTTACCTCCACAGTGCCCAGAAGTGCTCATTCGTTTCATTGCGGTGGGAGGTTTGAGGAGTACTGATTTTTCTTTTCTCTTCTTCGTCTAGATTTGATCGTGCATTTTTGACTTTGAAAAAGGAACGAGTTTGGAAAGTTCTTTAGAGTGGATGATGATTTTATTTCTCCACAACACAGATCAACACACTTTGAATTGTGTGTGTGCAAGTGGGAACTGGAGCAAAGACACTATAGCACAAGTGCCAGAACTCTGCAAAATTCTGGCAGAGAGGCTGGCCCTAACCATCGTCTACAATAGTGCCTCTAAAATGTATCTCAGATGATACTTGAATTTGCTCTTACAGAAGTATTTCGTGTCACCTTTATGGTATGTCAGATTTTAAAACCTTTAAAACTTGAACAAATCCTTCACTTAGCTGCCTGTAAGCAGCATGGTTTTTGCTTTTATTTTGTAATTTGCTATTATACTCATGTTTGGTATGACACTAGCTTGATCTGGTTTAATTTCCCATGCTGATTTGTACTGATTGTGCCCTGTAGACTAATAGTATCTTTGCAGTCTCTCTTCTTCCTTTGTAAAATTTGCGATTACCGTTTACTGGACAGTGTGTTCTCTCTGCCACCTTCCAGAAGTGCCAGCTGCCTGTTGAACAGCACGGCATCAGCGATTAAAGCCTGCTCCAAACCCCAGCGAAATCAAGGAACAGTAATGTATATCAAGGTTTTCAAGGAAAGGCAGTATCTTTTATTAGATCAGCTGTTAGAGTTGGAAAAAAAACAGACAAGCTTTCAGGCACACAAATCCGTCTTCAGGTCTGAAATAGCAGCAGTATTGCTTACACCAGCATTCCTTACCAGTGAGACAGCTATGGTCCCAGCAAGATTTTAAAAATGTGTTTAAAATATGTGTCGCATGGCCCTTCTTACTGGGGAGGGCTTCCGAGCAGGGCACAGGCAAACATTGTTCTCCTCTCTCCCCTTCCCAGTACACACCCTACAAACAGGGGATACATCCTACAAGGAGAGGTAGTATAAGGTCACTTATTCTTGAGAAAAAGTCTTCAATACATTATGGCCGAGCCACATCTTCTCTATAGTCACCCTGCTGTTGGGAAGAACAGGGGCAATGCTGTGGACTTTGCTGTGCAGGTGGTGGCTGCAGTATCCATGCTGGAAATTCTGGCTTCTGGTGTTTACAGCTGTCCAGCACACAGCTGTGGGACCAGCTGGCAAAATGAATTTTATTCCATTTGTTGTGGTTGCCTTACAAGGAACAGTGTTTCCCAAAGTTTCTGGAGTCCCAGTTAACCGACCAGCCACCTAATAACAAAGCTTATGATTGAAAATGCTACCCAGGCAGGATGGTTCTGCAGAAAAGCTGTGAGGAGCTTCCCATAGTCTTTGGGTTGCTGGTGGTCACAGAACTGAAAAATAAGGCTGGTGAAGGGTCTAGAGAACAAGCTTTATGAGGAGCGGCTGAAGGAATTGAGGTTGTTCAGTCTGGAGAAGAGGAGGCTGAGGGGGGACCTTATTGCTCTCTACAACTACCTGAAAGGAGGCTGTAGTGAGTCAGGTGTTGGTCTCTTCTCCCAAGTAACTAGTGATAGGACAAGAGGAAATGGCCTCAAGTTGCATCAAGGGAGGTTTAGATTAGGCATTAGGAAAATTTCTTTACTGAAAGAGTGGTCAGGCATTGGAACCAGCTGCCCAGGGAGGTGGTGGAGTCCCCATCCCTGGAGGTGTTTAAAAACCGTGTAGATGTGGCACTTCGGGATGTATTTTAGCAGGCATGGTGGTGTTGCATGGATGGTTGGACCTGATGATCTTAGAGGTCTTTCCCAACCTTAATAATTCTATAATTCTATGACTCTAAGAAGTAACAGCCCAGTATGGTGCCTACTTTCTCCTCCAGGTTATGGATCTGAAGATCCTGTTTTTTTATCCTATGAGAGAGACCATATTTATCTTCCTTTTTCTTTTCTGGAAATCTTTGAAAGAAAGTACTAAAATCTTTCTAGTTAAAGAACCCAGACAGGTGCTCAAAAATTAAATGTTAACATTAACCGTAACATTTATTTCTTTGTTCCCGTGCTAGGAACTGGGGTGTAGTTAATAACTGTGGTGTTAAGAACCTAAGGATGCTTTTTGCTCATATGAATATTTCCATAGTATATGGGCTGCGAGAACTCTAAATTTTGCATTCTTGCTGGAGTGTATTAATAGGTGTGTTAATTATGCGGCTTGTCTGTTCAGCCCTATTTGAAAATGAAAGGTTGCATTTCAAGAAACTGTCACCACAAGAAAACTGTAAAGAAGTATTGATGCTTCTGAAGAAATCGAAAGGATGAGCCATTTATGACTTTAAGCTGATTAACACACAGACATGAACAACCGATGAGCAAGTACTGCTGTAAACAGGAATATGATTATTGGAAGAGCTTAATTCAGAAGACAAAATACCTCTTAACAATTATGCAAACCAAAAATCTTAGTTTAAGATCTGCTTTCGGCATTGCTGTTCTGGTGCGAAGCTATCTTACAACTGTCTTGAAAGGTCTTAAAAGTTTAGAAATTTGTGGGACCCTGTCTTCATATAAAATACAAGTGTTTCAAATGTGGATCTCAATCTGAATCCACCACTTCCAACACATCATACTTAAGGACCTGAATCACCATTCCTGGCTGTGCTAGGCCTAGCCTGGCCAACTTGATCCCTTTCTGTGTTTCTCCACCCAGTGATGTGCCCAATGATGCACAGCCATGGCAAGTAGGCTGATGTCACCCATGAAACAGCCCAGGCAACTTCTCTTTGCCAGAGAAGGTTTTGATGGAGGCGTCATGTAGACAAACAGATTCTCTGGTGAATCTCAGAATTTGTTTCATTCCCTTTAGTACCCAGCCAAGATGTTTGGGTTTGAAAGCATGGCTGTGAGCGTTACTGAGTAACGGGGTTTCTTTTTCTTAATGTGCACCAAAAGGGAAACAACGAATTTGTCTGTGAAAGACATGAGCTTCATTGTTACTTGAAACTAAGACCTTTTCATATTCCCATCTATTTTAAGACACTTCTATGCTGCCAGAGTAGAAGTAGTAAAAACCAGGATCCGTACTTGGTCCCCATAACAGTAGTTTTGTAGCCCCGTGGACTACCACATGTCTAGCCTGCAAAATACAATTCAACATCTGGATTCTGCAGTCAGTAAAGGGCTCCAGTGCCCCAGTCTTTAGACATCTTATACAGATGGGTTTGAAATGTGGATGCAGATCCATTGCTGAGTCAATGCTTCAGCTCAACCCCGTGTTTAGGTTGGATCTCTTTATAAATTTGCACTTGTAAAGCTGGAAGACCAGTATGAAGGAGGGAGAAGCATGTGAACTGCTCCCAAAGCAGCATCTGCTCCCAAACCACTATTTTTTACTACCTGACACTCTTTAACAGTAGTGATGTTGCAGCTTTATTCGCTCATGAAAACAGAGACAGCAGCAGCAGTGTCCAGCACTCAGGTTGATGTGCCAGCTACACATGAATGGTGCACATTATAAATATACATTTAGGGTCCTTTCACGCATACCATGGCTAAGTAACAGCCAGCTCTGTCTCGGTGTTCTTCCACTGCTGCATTTGTGAAGTAGCCTGTAGTAAGGGAAGGCTGCAAGGAGGGCTGGAAATGGCAGTGCTGGTGAGAGCAGCAGATGTTGTTGCACTTCATTTCTTCTGCAGCTGGTTATACATTCAGGTTGGACAGGTCAAAAAGCCAAAGAAGTAAAACTCTCTTTCGTTCATTATCTCACCCAGGACTCGACATGTTCATACCGTCAGGCTTTGCACGATGCTAGCTTTCTCTCTTGTTGTTTCACTGAGACTTTGCTCTTTTTCAGGTGCCAGGAGACAACGAGAAGCACTGGAAGCCAGTGTTAGTGGTCTTGACGGAGAAAGACCTCTTAATATATGAGAGCATGCCGCGGATGAAGGAAGCTTGGTTCAGCCCTCTGCATACCTACCCCCTGCTAGCCACCAGGTACCTCCGCTTTTCTATTACGACTGCTTTCTATTACGAGTTGTGGGAAGAGATGAGTCAGCCAGGAATAGGCATAGCTGGTGCACAGCTGTATATCACACTTGAAATGTTGTGGTTTGAGAAGCAGAGTCTTCTTCAATGGGCCAGTGGGCTCAGCTTAACTCCTCACTTCTCCTCCGTTTAAAGTTCTGGTTGAGGCTGATGGCCAGAAGAGCACCAGAAGGATTATGGAGGAGGCCATTTGGCCCAGATCCAGAGGCAGGAGTGCTGAAAAAGCCAAGAGCTCAATCTCCTGAGATTTCTGTCTCAGTGTGCAGACCTGAGTGCTTGCAGAAGGACTCCGATTTCCAGCTGCTTCTCCAGGCTGAAAAACGTGAAACTGTTGCCCAGAGTTGGACAAACTGATGTGGCAGTTCTGCACCACTGGTTTGGGGCTTTTTGGGGCTCACACGTGTGATGGAGACACTTAATTTCAGCACGGTTTGTGTTGCTGCTCCATGAAACAAATTCCTGTGTTTTTTAGCTTAAAATGGTGAGCTTGGAAGACACATTCTTGAATCTAGGTTGGAAATAACCATCTGCATTATTTCAGAGGTATCCATCAACAGTAATTCAGAAAGAGTTTTCCCATGGCTGTCTTTGTGCAGTGAAAACTGTCTGTGCTTCTTGATGTGAATCTTAATCACATTTCTCTGCCAGTATGGTCAAAGGGCTTGAGAAAGAGCTGCTGTTCCATTGTTTTGGCCTTGCTACAGGCCCCTATTGTACCATTCTCAATGAGTTCTCATTCAGAAGGGCTGGTAGCCCATAGCCAAAAGCAGTGGGTCTCTTACTGCACTCTCATTAGTTAATTTTTGTTCTTGGTCTCTTAGTTCTCCCCCCAAATGAACTGAGGCTTTGCTGCTAAATCATTATACTGAAAAAAAAAAAAAAAAAAAGAACTCGGTGAATTACACTGATGGTTGTTTTGTCCCAGTCTACCTACCCATGGTGGAGCTTTCAGACTTCCTGGGAAGCTTCTGACTCATCCTTTGTTATCGTCACATGAGGTGAGAGCCCCATGCTTTGCAGCTTGCAGCCTGTCGCACATTGTGGCGGTGAAGGCTGACAATTCCAGGTGGCAGTTCCTGATGAAAACTGGGTAAGGTGTTGGAGCCAGAGGCTGCATCCAGGTGTGTCACTGAGGCCTTACAGTTTGTGAGCCCCCCAGCAGAAGGTGATGCGTCTCCTCCCTAGGGCTTCGGGGAGGACCCAAGTCCTTCTCCTAACAGCGACTGGAGATCCTGCAGCACACCCTGCCCCTTCCTGCCCACGCATTGCCATGTGTGAAGACAGCCCTTTGGTGGGCATCGCCAGCCTCCCTTGTCAGTGACCACCAATTTACCAGCTCAGACAATCTAAGTCCTCGTCTTGGAGGGCCTGTTACTTAATCACTTTTTCTCAGGAGCCAGATTTGATAGCAGGCTGGCTTGCCTTGGGTGGGGATAGTCATGTCCATGTCCAATGGGATTCCCATGTGAGTGGAGGAGCATTGGCCTTCAGGCTGGACAGGAATGAGAAGTTGCCCGACATGGGTGTCAGGCTGCTGAAGGGCCTTTACAGACTGGGAAAATGATCTGTAGGAAAGACAGGATGCAATTCAGAAAGGACAAGTGCAAAGTTCAGTGCTGGGGGATAATCAGCTGCACTGGTTAGGGGTGGAAAATGAGCGACAAAGTCATTGCTCTGCCAGCAAGCATCTGGGCAGTGTGGCAAAATTGCTTAAATCTACAGTGGTATGTTTTTGAGAGAGGAAAATAAAGACAACCATCCTGGGTTATAGCAGAAGTGTTGCATGTTGGGCAGATGTAGTACCCTGCCTAACTACAGGGCATGAGTAAAGCCTCAGGTGATACACCACCTTCATGTGAGGCATTGCACTTCCAAAAAAGATGCTAGTTAACTGTGGAAGGTCTAGAAGAAAGCAATGCAAATGTAAGACCTAGAAAACACTTATCAGTAGGGGAATACTTAAGAAACCTTGGTTGTTTAATCTGGAGAAGTCCATGGAAAACATGTCATTTCAGGTATGAATATGAGAAACCAGGAGGAGGACAGGGGAGCATGTTCTCCAGGTCTCTGCCAGATAGCACAGGAATAGTTGGCTGCTTTTGTGGCAGGGGAGGTTCTGGGTGAGTCCTGGGAAAAACTTGGTGTGCGCATGAGGTGCTGGATTAGATTCTCTAGGAAAGGTGCATGATCCTCGTCACTGGGGATGTTGAAGGACGGATGACACTGTAACCCTCAGGACCATGTCGGCACAGTTAGTCCTGCTCTGGGAAGGGGGGTGTGCCGGGTGACCTCCTGAGGACCATTCCAGCCCCATCTCTGTGATTTCTGACTAGTGTCACTGTGAATTTAACACTCAGGTAAAAAGACAGCAGATGTGGAGAAGGTGACATTCAGAATGGAGTCGCAATCTGATAAATGCGTATAAATACGCAAATCCCCAAGGTGAGCAGATTACATAAATTGACAGATTCCCTAAATCATTACACCTACTGTTTTGGATTATTTTGATTAAAACCCTGCAGGATTCTGCTTTTAAGATCTGTCACACTGAGTACAGTTATAACAAAAAAAATGCACAGGGTTTGCTGTTGGCATTGACTGCTCCGTTGGTGCTCGGTCAGTGATTACCCTCCTCGTGACGGGTTTTTTAATCCCCTCCGTGCATTGATCAGTGCAATTTAGAACTTTTCACCTGGAAAGTTTGCAGACCACATGTTGTAATCTTGGCTGCTCCCATCTTTCAGATTTTTATGAGTCCTTGCGAAAACATTTTTGCTTAGCTAATGCATATTTGAAAAGCTGCTGAAACTGGAAAACTTCAGTGCCAGATACTGCACAGAGTCATGCTTAATCTACCCAAGGCATAATGAGCAGAGAAAATTGGAAAGTGGTAAAAGGATTACAATCTTCTTACAGTATTTTAACAACAGAATTTCAACATGCCCTCTCTGTTTGTTGATAAGTTTGCCTTCAACCTATGGATGCTATTAAGACCTTAAAATATTTCCCAGTCAGCCTTTCCCAGCTTTGTGTGGAACATAAGTAATAGCTCAAATAAAACCGAGATCAGGAGATTTAAGTTGTTCTTTTAAATCTCTGCACCAGGAGGCACAGCGGCTGGCTCGTAGCCCTGACACCAAGGACCTTTTTGTCATAATCTCTGTTCCAGTGTTTCCTTATGCCTGAATAACAGTGCCTCCCTCTAGCATGGGAATGGGGCTTAAGTAATTACATCTTAAATGTTTGCAATCAAATTCCATTATCTACCATAGCCAGATATGAAATGAAAGAAAAAAAGAAAAGAAGCAGGCCATGTTGGGCTCTGATTAAAGATCAGGTAAGTAGCTTTTGTGTAAAGATGAGGTCTGCAACCAGAAATTATTAATTTGATAAGCAGTTTGATAGTTAATGCCATGGGAAGTCAGGAAGGAGTTTGGGCACTGATTAGCCATTTGTGCGAGCGGGCAGAGGGGCAGGCGGGCAGCACTGGGGTCCCTGCGCACCCTGGGGAAGGTGGACGAGGTGCTGCATGAGCTGGGTGAGTTCTCCGCTCCTCTTCCCGGGGCAGCGAGGGTGGCTGTGGCTCCCGCCGGTGAACTGAGAGCCTGCGCATAGGTTTCCAAAGAGCACAGCCATTCCACAGCAGGTTTCAAACGCTAAGTCAGCGTAAGGAGTGGTTTCAGCATAAGAAAGGTCAGATGATAGTGGCTTCCTCCTGGGCAGAGCAGCATGACTGTTGGTGCACTTGTATCGTTGCCTCTTCTGAGACAAATCTCAAAATGAGCAGCTGAACACTGGCTTTGAATGTCAGTGCTGGTTTCGCTGTCCTTTTTGAAGAGGCCATTAGATTTTTCTGTGGCAGCAAGTGGTTGAAACTCTTTTCATAGCATTAGAATGAGAAGCAGGTCCCAGTGCGTCTCACCCGGCACCGGCACTTCATGGTGGACCATATCCATCTTCTTCTGAGACAAATCTCAAAATGAGCAGCTGAACACTGGCTTTGAATGTCAGTGCTGGTTTCGCTGTCCTTTTTGAAGAGGCCATTAGATTTTTCTGTGGCAGCAAGTGGTTGAAACTCTTTTCATAGCATTAGAATGAGAAGCAGGTCCCAGTGCGTCTCACCCGGCACCGGCACTTCATGGTGGACCATATCCATCTTCCTATAAAACTTTTGCAAAACTCAATGCTAAAAAGGTCCTCAAAACGTAGAGAGACAAGGGAGAAATTAGAGAAAATCAGAAGTGTCTCCCTGGAGCATGCCAAGAGTTGCATTTCACAGCCGCTGCCGGCTGTCTACGCGCTGTGCAAAGACACCAGGCCATGGCCAACCTCCTCCTGCCCTCTTGCGGCTCTGGCTGCTCTGGGGAAGGGTGCTCGGGCATCTCATAAACCCCCACGGAGGCTGGGAACCTTTGGGAACTGCGGGGAATGTCACCAGAGCCGGCCCCGGGGCGTCTTTTCGGCGCTGGGGTGCAGGGTGCACCACGCACACAGCCTCTGCTGTGGCTAGAGCGATGGGAGGTGGGGGCAAGGGGAGCCTTCTGTGAAGTTTCTAAGCCTATTCTTCTGCCTTTTAAGGTATTCTTGTGGTCTTCAGGATGAAACATCTTTTATGTAAATGAAATAGCTCCTGTGAATGCAACTTTATTAAAGCATGGGAATCCTTTGACTTGTACGCAAATACATTGGTGCTGACAGCCGGTACATAAATACTATCGAAGGTTCCCCTGCATGTTTGTCTAGTTGATGTTTAACTGCGTGATTTTCCAAAGCATGGTCTGGAGTTGTATTTTTAAATAGTGAGACTGAGTTTTTAATAACGAGAGGATAATGTGAATGAGAAGGCAGGCAAGAAATGGTGCTCATGTTGGATGTGTCCACGTACTTTAATTTGTAAAGCAGTACATCTTTATTCTATCCCTTTGCTGAAGAACTTGAAATGCCATTGCTATGGTTAAAGTGTGGAGACGTAGGAGAGCAGCAGGGTGAATCTGAAATTAAATAAAATATTGGAACCATCTATCTGTCACATATTCAGTATCACAAGTACTAGAAACCGATTTTTAGCACTGCTGATGAGCACTGTATAAAAGAGAAGGGATGACCGAGGGAGAAGCTGGGATAGTTTTATTTCTAATGTCGATCTTGATGTGATTTTCCAGGCTGCTTTCCCACAGTTGTCCGTGACCCCTTCCAGCAGCAGAAGGCAGCACGATAGTGGCAGCCCTGCCTGCGCCTGAGCGACTGGATGTGGCCAGGCAGCAGCAGAAGTCACTGGAGATTTCAGTTCCCCATCTCCTGCCTTAATTGCAGAGGGAGCTGGACAGGCTGGATTGATGGGCCAAGGCCAACTATATGAGGTTCAACAAGGCCAAATGCCGGGTCCTGCACTTGGGTCACAACAACCCCATGCAACGCTGCAGGCTTGGGGAGGAGTGGCTGGAAAGCTGCCTGGTGGAAAAGGACCTTGGGGTGTTGGTTCACAGCCGGCTGAGCATGGGCCATCAGTGTGCCCAGGTGGCCAAGAAGGCCAACGGCTTCCTGGCTTGGATCAGGAATAGTGCGGCCAGCAGGAGCAGGGAGGTGATCGTGCCCCTGTACTCGGCACTGGTGAGGCCGCACCTGGAGTGCTGTGTTCAGTTTTGGGCCCCTCACTACAAGAAGGACATTGAG